GACAGGCTGCGGGCATCGCTGCGGCAAAAGCGCCCGCCCTCTGCTTTGCTTTCGCCCGCGTTTTACGACAACTTTCGGTATCACAGCCGCCGAACTTTACCTCGCTGTTTCTTTATCAGTGTATGTAGCTCTTACGTACATTCCCGTAGGAGGACTCTGCTGATAGGGTTTGCGATTTTATAGGCGAGGGAGTTTTGTTGTAAAATTCTTTACAGGTGTCTCGAAGCTGCGTATTCTCGTATTGTCGTATTATCGTCGCGCAGTATGGTATTGCGTGGAGGCGGTCGTATTCTCGTATCACTAGCTCCGAGTTCTGCAGTTAAGGGGAAACCTGGCACACGGAGCCCCCTCGGAGAGTATTCTTTAGCTCCGAGTAGAGGGGGTGCGGTCTGCTGCTAGGGGGGCCCAAGGAAGCGCGAGGGAAAAATTCCGCCGCTAAGGGAAACCCAGAGCGCGGAGCTAACCCTCGGAGACCCGTGTTATGGCCCTGCGAACGCGCACCCCCGGGGCTAGGGCTCTCTTGCCCGCAACCCGATACCAATCGTCTGGCCAACTGGGTGCGCTTCTTAGCTCCCCGGTCCTGGGCGTGCGGATGATGACTGCACTCCAAGTGCTCCAAGTACATCTCCCGGAGATGGGAGAGAGAGAGAGAGATGGGCGACGCACGAACCCCCCAGCTCCCCACAATCGCTGGGTCGTGGGATCGCTTGTCATGTGAGAGATTGCGTTGTGTTCTTGCTTTGTATCCGCTTTTCTCTCATTCTCATCTCTGTGTCGAACACTTCCGCGAGACAGGAGCCTTCGCCAGGTCTTGGACACAACAGCGATGGGATGCCGACTTAGTGCGGGGAGGGTCGGCGAGCACTCACTCACTGGCGGCGCCGCAGGGCCGGGGCACTGGCCACGGCCTCGCCGACCACTAGAAGGCGGCCCACCCACTACACGCACTAACTTAGTGGGCGGGGTGGTGGGAGGCTCACCCACTTAGCCCGCTCGCTGGCGGCCCACTCACTTCCGCACACTAATTTAGTGCGCGTAGTAGCCGGGCTCGCCTCTAAGAGCACTACTTCCCCGCAGGGCCAGGGACCACTCACTCACTACGGCATCGCTGCTCTTCACAGCCTTGTTATTGAGAAGAAAATACCTCCTATGGCGCTGTGCGCTGGCCTGTGAGAGGTTGAGGTGCGAGCCCTGGAGGCCCTGGGGATGGGGGGGGACTACCCGCGGGCTTAGAAGGCCCGCGCGCAGGGGGGTGGGGCATTCACACGACCTCGCGAACGCCCGACACCTCTTCCGCGCTGTCGCGCGACCAGCGCGACCCAGGAGGCGACCAGCGCTACCCAGCAGGCTCTCTTTCTTTTTTCTTCTGTTTGTTGCCAGAGGCCGAAATGTCGGACTCGGAGTACATGCCGCTGGGACGCTCCGGCGGCCCTTATCGTGCGCCTGGCACGCCTCCCGCCCGTGCCGTCGCGCTGCTCGGCGTCGGGATGCTGTGCGGCTATTTCCTTCTCGACCTGGTGCAGCCGCAGAGCTCATCCCGGCGCGTGGCGGCGGCGGCCAGCGATGCACTGGTGACGGTGGTTGCTCGCGACGAGGGCGCGGAGCAGCGCATGCGGGCGGCCGCTGCCGTGGCGCGGCAGGCTGAGCCGGCCGCCGGGCAGGGCGAGAGCGAGTCGACGCTGCTCGACCCAAAGGCGCTCCGCGAGCTACGCCAAGCGCTCAAGGCGGCGGTCGCCGAGGCCCACGCCTCCGGGCCCGGCACAGACCCGCTCGCGCTCCTGGCCCACCGGCTGCTGCAGCGGCCGGCCGCCGACCGGCCCACAACCGCTGCAGCGCCAGCCGCGACCAACGTGGCTGCAGGCGGCGGCGGGGGTGGTGGCGGCGGCGGCGCGTCCCTGCCGCCAAACGGCGGCCTGCCGTCGAAGCTGCCGACGGCTGCGATGTGGCCCCCTCGCTTCACCCGCGGAGGCGGCGTGCGATCCGGCTTCGAGTCGCTCGGCCGGCTGGTGCGGCCGGGAGAGGGGCGACCGGGCCGAGGGAGGGCGCGGCGAAGAGCGTGTCTCGTCGGGTGCTATAGGAGCCGTACCGCGGCGGCGACCTCGAGCAGCCGGGCGAGCTCGCGCGCGCGGCCAAGGCGCGCTCGTGCAGCTGCGACCCACACGCGGCCCTGGACCCTCAGCCGCGGCCCTCAGCCCTCAGCCGCGGCCCTGGACCCTCAGCCGCGCGGCCCTGGACCCTCAGCCGCGGCCCTGGACCCTCAGCCGCGGCCCTTGGCCCTCCGCCCAAAGGCGCGCTCGTTCAACGGCGAGCTCGTGCTAACGTACGGCAACGAGGCGGGCACCGCGTGGATCGCCAACCTCGTCTTCTCGCTGCGCGCCGTCGGCATCGAGCACTTTTTGGTCATCGTGATGGACGACGAGCACTGCGCCGAGCTGATGAAGCCTCCGTGGCGCATCTCTTGCGCGTGGTCCTCATGGGACTTTGGCAAGTCGCGCGAGTCGGGGCGCGGCTGCAGGCGGCCGGGAGAGCTGCGCCGGCTGTGGTACTCGCGGCACCACTACATGTCGCGGGTCATCGGCGAGCTGAACCTGAACGTCGCCGTGGTGGACGGCGACATCTCGGTGCAGCGAGACTTTTACCCGCTCCTCAAGGCGAGGGCCGAGACACGGAGAGAGAGACACACACCCTCTGGACGCGGCCCAGACGCGCCTCGGCCCCTCAAGGCGCCGCCGCTCCGCGAGCACAACCTTATCTACACGCTCGACCACCAGCACACCTGCGGCGACCTCAACGTCGGCTTCGCGTACTGCCAGAACTGCGCCTCTGGCGGGCGCGCGCAGTGGGCGATCGACGAGGGCCTGCGGCGCGAGGGCTACTTCTGCGCCGGGGAGCCGGGCGAGTTCGACGGGGCGAATGCGCGCTTCTGGGCAAGGTCGGACGGGGCGGGCGTGACGGCAGGCCCGCACCGGTGGGTCGAGTGGACGACGGCACGCGACCAGAAGCTCTACTCGGACGTGGTGGGCGGCTCTTGCTGCGGCGCGCCGCAGCACCGGCTGCTCTTCCCGGGCACATACAAGCAGGTGGGCGACTCGTACGCCTTCATGCGGCAGTGGGGGTCGCACGCGGGCTGCATGACGATGGCGGCGGCGGGCGGAGGCGCGAGCGGGCTGCAGACGTGGTGGCACGAGCTGCTCATGGGAGGCAATGCGAGCGACGGATACGCGCGGGCGGGCGGGCCTCGCGAGACGGTCGCCATCGCAACGGGGTCTCTCGCCTCGGGCTGGCACGGCACGGGGGAGGGCGAGCTCGCGGGCTGGTCGGGCCACTGGAGCGAGCGTCCCCCGGCGGTGGCGCACTTTGTGGGCGGCGGCCCGGCCGGAGGCAAGGTCGAGATCATGCAGGGACTCGGCTGGTGGCGGTACGAGGCGGACGTCGCCGCGCATGCCATCGCCGAGGCCACCAACAAGACGGCGGGCTACGCGCTGCCCCGCTCCTTCTTCTGGCCCGCCACGCGCCGCGGCGTGCGCGTGCTCGCGGGGGCACCGGCTCGAGGAGCGACTCCACCAGCCGAGTGAGTTCCAACTCACTAGGCGTGCTCGTGCTCGCGGGCCCCGCCGCGCGCATAGACACGGCCACTTCGGCCGAGTACGTCAGCGCGTACAATGAGCGACGGCGTTGGCTGCTCCGGCTGGCGGTGCTGCTCCAGCGGACTGCCGTCGACCCGCGTGCGCCGTGCGACGCTCCGTGGGTCGTGTCGGACACGCGCACCGGCCACCGAGGCCGGGGGTACCGCGGCCGCTGGTACACGCCGGGCTGGCCCTGGCCGTTTGACGGCGGCGTCGGCATCGTCGGGTCCAAGTGCCGGTACGGCGAGGCGGAGCCGAACACGACCGGCGCCACCGCCGACTGCTGCGCGCCCATCTTTGGCAAGGCAGCCCTCGCAGCCGCGCGCCCCTTCCTCGACGCCCCGGGCGCCTGCCCGCGGTCATGACCCCTACCGCCGGGCGCAGGTGGCGGGCGTGAGGTGCTACGAGACGGCGCACCCGGCGATCGTCGAGACGTACCTCGCGACGACGTACGCACGCCGCACGCAGTCGGCAGAGCTGCCGCTGGCGGACCTGATGGCGCGCGCATGCGTGCGCAAGCCCCGCCCGCGCCGCCGCCGGACGGTGAAGCCTGAGCCGAGTCGCCGCCGCAGGTGGGCGGCGAGGTCGACGCGGGCAAGCTACGAGCGGTGCGAGGTCGCTACGAGCAGCAGGTGCTGTGGGTCAGGCCGCCGCTGCCCTTGCCGCCGTTGCGTGGCCTCTCCACTTCGGACAGAGCGGCCGTCCAACGATTCGCGAGCAAGGAGTGCCTCACGGCGCTGAAGGGCAGCCTATGAGATTCCTTGTCCGTGGATCACCGAGGTGACTTGCGAAGGGAGGGCGGCCAACGCACACATTCATGCGGACGGACTCTCGCTGCGTCTCGTGTTGCGACGTGCCATGGATTCGTGTCGGGAAGCGTGTGCGACGTTTGCTTTCGTCGCACCACTCAGCCAGAGGCCCAAAGGGTGTGTATGTGTGTTCCACAGTCTCCGTCCGATCCAACTGTACCGAGTCACGCGACGCGTGTCTCGAGGTGTGCAGCTCTCTCGAGCGTCTCACAAGCGCGCGGCGCGCCCCTACGGCTTTAGGCGCGCCCCCTGGCGCCCCGACGGCCCGTGTAAAAACGAATAATTGACATCCATACGGCTTTATATCCCGCATCCCCCGGCACGAGCGGCACAGCGCGTCACATGTACATGTGCATGTGCATGCACATGTGCCGGTCGGCGCGCACATGCAAACTGAAACGCACGTTTCATGCAACTGCCGTTCCGCGGCGACTCGCACCCGCCATCCAATCTGCGCCCCCCGCACGGATGCACGTGCTCCGCTGATCCCTTCCGCCTTCCGGCCGCTCTGCATGCGCGCGAGGTTTATCGCGCGCGATGAGAGTTGCGCCCCTCTCGACACCGCTCACGTTGGCTTCGGCTTGGGCTTCGCCATCGACGCGCGCACCTCCTCGAGGATCGAGTCGGGGAAGACCTCGAGGGCGAGCTGCCAGCCGTCGAGAGGAGAGCCGCCCTCGTGGGCGAGCGGGGCGAGTACCTGCCGAAGGGAGCGCGCTGGAGGAGGGCGAGACGGGGCGAGGGGGGGCGAGGCAACTCTCTGCGCGCCTCGACCGCACGCGCAAAGCCGCAGCGGACGGCGTGGAAGATCTCCCCTGGAAGCGGCGGCGGGTAGGGCGATGCACTTTGGGCGCGTGCGGCAACCTCGTCGGTTGGGCGTCGGCTGTACCACGGGGAATCTCTGGGGTATGTCTGGTCTCTAGGAGAGATCTCGGCAACGCATCTCGGCCCGATCTCGGCCCGATCTCGGCCCAATCTCGGCCCGATCTCGTCACACCCGCGTCGGTCTGCAGGTTGGACACCTCCGGCCCTCGCTCGCCCGGCTGCAGCGCCACCTGGCACAGCTGCACGGGCTCCGGGGGGCCCGGGCCGGAGCGCCAGCGGATGTGGATGCCGCTGTCCGCCTGGCTCTGCTTCGCCGCCTCGTTGAGGAGGAGGATGTCCTCGGCGTATCGCTGCCGGTGCTGCTGGTCGCGCATGTGCTTGTACATGTGCGGCATGCGCATCTTCCGCTCGAAGAAGCGCCACGCGATGAGGCGCTCGAAGATGGACTGCCGCCGCACCACGTTGACGCCGTCGGGCCGGGTGCGCAGCACGAGCACGTGCGTCGCGCCCTCGCGCACGGCGAGCCGGTAGGGGATCGGCTCGAACAGCATCGCGTCCGCGTGCGGCTCGACCTGCGAGAGAGAGTGTGAAAGCGGTGAAGGAAAGGGGTGAGGGCTAGGGTTAGCGCGCCGCTTCGCGAGAGTGGCCCAGGGGAACGAGTGGCGAAGTGATCGACTTTCGATCCGTTCCTCGGAGGCGCGCCTCTCCGCGAGAGTTGTTGAGGGGGACGACGGGCCCGCAGATGCCGGGCAGCAGCATCGAGGCGCGCATGCAGTGTGCCAGCTCGGGCAGTGACCTCCACGAGCCTACGAGCGGGGACCGACACCGACGCGTGGTGGACGTGTCACGGCCTTGCTCCGGCAGCGAGTCTCGAGGTGCCCTCGTCCGATCCGAGCGCGACAGAGCACTCGCTCGTGAGGGCCTGAGGAGTCAACATGCAGCCCACTCACCGAGGAAGCTCACTCACTCACCACAGCCCTCGCTCGCGGTGGCCGAGGCGACGACGCGGAGGGGCTGGTCGGGCTGGCCCGCCCAGAGGCGGTCGAAGTCGAGCGGCTTTCGCCTCTGCACGATCTCGACGAGCAGCTGGTCCAGGTTGAGGACCGGCATCCCCAGCCGCCGCTGCACCAGGTCTGACACGCCCGCCGGCGTCACACGCAGCGCGCCCAGGCCGAGGGAGCGGAGGACGTTTCGCAGGTCGATGAAGCGGCGGCCGGCCTTTGGCAGCTCCTCGTAGTAGATGGAGCAGCCGTACCGCGGGTCCTGCCGCGAGAGCAGGTACGCGCCGATGAGCGAGCCAGCCGACGACCCGTACACGGCGTCCAGCGAGTCGGTCAGGCCGAGGTGGTGGATCGCGGCGACCATGCCGGCGGCGACGCAGCCGCGCATCCCGCCGCCCTCGACGGCGAGCGCGATCTTGATCCCGTCCGTTCGTGCGCCCGGCCGCGAGCCGACGGCGCGCCGCGCCTGCATCGCCTCCGCCACTGGATGGAGCCGTTGCTCCAGCGCCGACGAGTTGCCGCGCACGTCTAGTTGCGAGTACTTTGCGCCCGCGGCGAGCAGCTCGCGGAAGGACGACTGGGACTCCACCGCCAGCCGCTGCCGCGAGTTGCCGGGCCGCGCACGCTCCACGTGCCGCGTCTCGCGCCGCACGGACCTCTCGGCCGCCCGCAAGGCAGGAGCCCTCGCTAGCGAGAGAGCGAGCGCGCACGAGATTGCGAGAGGCATGTGGAGCGACCCGAGAAGACACGGCCCGGGCGGCGATGCGAAACTCGGTGTGGTTGCAGCGACCTTAGGGGGCGGCGTGAGATGGAGCGACCGAGAGGCGGGGTGGCCGTGGGATGCTGCTGGATGCGAAGCGGCGCTATCTTTTTCTTTTTTCCTTCCTAACAAACTTTCACGACCACCTATTGGCCCCCCCTGCTCCACCATACCTTCCCGATCGGTGGATGCACACCAGCGCGAGGTGTGTTTTCTTGGGCTGTTGCTGCTGCTGCAGCCAGTACACACATACACACATATGCAGCGCAGCCAGTGGGACGTCCCTCGCGACGAGCGCTCTCGCGGCGAGCGCGACCGGCGCGAGAGCTGGGGCGAGCGCGACCGGGGCTGGGGCGGGCGCGGCGGCCCGCCTGCGCGCGACGGGCCTCCTGCGCGTGATGGCAGGCGTCATGCTAACCCGTATGTCGACCGCGCGCCGCCCGGCTACGACGAGCGCGCTCGCGGCGGCGGAGGCGGCGGCGGCGGCTACGAGCGACGCGATGGCGGCTATGCAGGCGGCGGGTACGGCGGCGGCGGTGGGTACGGCGGTGGGTACGGCGGGCCTGGGGGTGGCTACGGCGGGGGGGGCGGCGGTCCTGGTGGTGGCTACGCCGGCGGCCCCGCCGGCGGCCCCGGCGGTTCCGGCGTCGGTGGAAACTGGGCTCCGCAACACCCGGGGCCGCAGCGGCTGGGGCTGCAGCGCTCGCAGAGCGCGGCGCCAGAGTCGCTGCACGCGCGGCCTCCGCCGCCTCCGCCTCCGCCCGGATTGGTGCCCTCTCGGTCGCTGAGCGAGCCGCCGGCGCCGATGGACCATCGGCGCACACGGGAGCAGCCGCACCTCTGCAATGGCGGGCCGCCGCCGCCGCCGCCGCTGCAGCAGCAGCAGCAACATCAGCAGCAACTGCAACAGCAGCAGCTGCAACAGCAGCAACAGCTGCAGCAGCTGCAACAGCAACAGCCGCATCTGGCGCAAAACTCGATGGGGCAGCACCAACAGCACCAGCAGCACCAGCAGCACCAGCAGCACCAGCAGCACCAACAGCACCAGCAGCACCCGCAGCAGCACCCGCAGCAGCACCCGCAGCAGCCCCCGCAACACCCGCAGCACCCGCAGTGCGGCCGGCAGCGCTCCTGCGGCCCGAGCTGCGGCGGCGGGAGCGACCCGTCTTCGTCGGCCATGCCCAACGGAGCACCCGCCCGCGGAGGAGTCTCGCGTGGCCCCAGTTTCATGGGCTGCTCCCCCTCCGCCGGCCCGCCCGCCCCCTCCGCCGCTGCCGCCTGCGTCGCCGCCCCCTCGGCTTGCGGTGGAGGGCCGGCGTGCGCCAACGGGGCGACGGCCGGCTCCGCTGCAGCGCTGCCCGCCTTCCCTGCAGCGCGGCAAGTCTCTTCCGACGACCCGGTCGTGGTTGCGCTCAGCCACGTGGTAAACTCGAGCCTCAAAGAGGCGCCGCCCGCGCCCTCGGACCCCATGCCTCGCTCCTGCCCCGACCCCACCTCTCCCGACCGAAGCACTCCTCCCCTCAGGCCGAGGAGCGAGCGGCAGCGGCCATCCACGAGGCCGCCTCGCACCGTGCTCTCCTGCAGAAGCGGCGCTGGGACATCGCCCACCAGGCACAGAGCCACTCCCCGCTACACACAAACGTTACAGGGCAATCTGGACTTGCACGAAGCCATCGATGCAGCGGAGTGACTGCGACCCTGCCCCCTCTCCCCGCAGGCGGCCGAGTCGATGCGTTCGCACTTTGACACGCACGGCACGCTCCTCGCGGACGCCTGAGAGCGGCGAGGCGCAGGGATGCCCGCCGCCGCCAGTCAGGTCGCTCCCGTCGGCGAGCGCCACAATGCACAGAGCCCGGTCGAACTGAACCATGACTGAACTTGCACTGTTGCACAGTCTCACGTTGCCGGGCTCGTGTTTCTCGTCCTCCACCCGCTGCCTGGGGAGGACAGGTCCTCGGTGTCGCAGGATACGAACTACATACGCGGGCGCTGCTTGTTTACGTTCGCGACGCGGCGGGCATAAAACACCGTTTTTTGTGATGCGGATTGATCGGCGGGGCTCTCTCCTCGCGGTCTGCACTGCGCACACTGCGGTGCAGCCGCGAGTCTCCCGGGCCCGCCATGGCCCGCAGCGCGCAGGCGTAAGGAGGCGAGGCCGCGGGCGCGGCACGGGCCCCACGGCCCACATCGCGCACGGCCACTCCGCACTCGGCAGGCGCACCCCCGCACGGGCGCACGCCCCGAGCCCCTGTATCTATAGCGATGCCGCATAGTAGATCATACCGTACACGTTGACGTAATTTCGGGGAGGCGGGGAGTGGGGGCCCGCGCACACATACCGCCTGCACATAGACTTCTCACTGCGCGCGCATGTCAGGCGGGGGGGGGGTCTTGAGCCCGCTCATTCTGTGTAGTGCCGCATCTCAGCCTCTTCTAGCTTGCGCAGCGCCTCCAGCAGCTCCGCTTTCGAGAGCCCCGCCACAACCTTCTCAACGTCGTCGCCCCGGGCGGGCAGGCCAAACGGATTGAGGCCGTCGCGACTGCTCGAGCTCGCCGCGGCCGGCAAGTCGAAGAGCGGCGGCAGAGCCGGTATCACCACGCTGCCACCGCCGCCGCCGCCCGCGCCACCGAACGTTGGGCTGCCCGCCCCCGCCGTCGTGCCGAGCCTGGGCCCGAAGGCCGCAGCAAAGCTGCCGCCGAAGCTGCCGCCCGCCAGCGGCGAGTGGTGCGGGTTGGGCTGGTGCGGGTTCGTCGAGCGGGCCTCGTGGCCAGCGCCTGGCCCGTCGGGCAGGTCGAAGGGGAAGTCCTCCAAGACAGAGAGCGCCGCTTGCTCCGCCAGCGAAGCGTCGGAGAAGCAGAACCGGTCCGGACTGCCCCCTCGCTCGGGCGCCGCGGCGGGCGAAGCGGGAGTAGTCGCGTCCGACGCGGTCCGCCGCCTGAGCGAAGAGAAAGACTGCGACGCGGCGTTGAGCTGCGACGCCGCCGGGCCGGAGCCGCTGCCGGCACTGCAGGCAGCGGAACTGCAGGCCGGAGGGGTGCGGGCCGGAGGGAGGCTTCGGCCGCCCTCTCCCCGCCCTGGCGATGACGGCGGGGCGGGCACGGGACTGGACAGCGCCGGCCTGGCCGAACCCCCCTCCCTGCCAGATGCGTGCCGCGCCCTCGCTCGGTCTCGCGCGCCGAGCGGCGGCTCGCCGATCGCGGAGGGCGGGTGAGTCGGCGCGGGCTGTCTGACGTCCTGTCTGGCGTCGCTGGCTGCTGCCTCCCCGCCGGCCGGCTGGACTGGTCCGGGCGGCGATGCGGCCGGCGGCAGGGGAGACTCTGCGGCGGTCGTGTCTGCGCCGCCCAAATCGAGCCCGTCGAGCGGAGTCGCGGAGCCGCCGCTCGCCGCCAGAGGGAGGGACCGAGCGGGAGACCCCCGCGCCGCCGACCCCACCACGACGGCATCCTCGCCGTCCGCAGCCACGTCGGACACGCCGCTCGCTTTCGCCGCCGCGTCCGGCGAGGGGCGAGGCGCCAGCGCCTGTCGACCCTCGGCGCGCGCACCGTCCGAGGCGGAGGAGGTCGGCGGCCGGCGTAACGCTGCCGCAGCGACGGCGCCCGCGTCGCGTGAGCTGGACTCGCCCGAAGCGGTGGCGAGGGCCACAGGAGGTCGAGCCGAGAGGCTGTCCGCGACGTCGGAGGCGCCCCTGTTCGCCTCTGGCCCGGACCGCCTCCCCGAGGAGCTGTCGCCGCCCTGCCTCGCCTTGACCGGCTCGGCGCGGCTTGGACGGGGCAGCGCCGCAGACTCGGAGCCCCTGCGGGGCACGGCACGCGCCGCCGCGTCTCCGCCTCTGCTCCGGCCGGAAGGCTCCTTGGCGGGCTTCGGTCGCCGCTCCTTCCGCCCGAGCTCGTCGTCGTTCGCCGGCGCCGGTGCACTGCTCTCGGCCGGCCGTGCTGGCGGGTCGACGAGCGACTCCGTTGGCGGCCGCGCCAGGGACAGGAGCAGCACGGCGCGCAGCGGTGATGGAGACCACGCGATGAGATGCGCGGCAGCCTCGAGGCAGCCGGACTCGAGGAGCGACTTCAGGCGCGCCGCGACGGGCTCGCCGGCGAAGAAGAGGCGGCACACCCACGCGAGGAGGAGCGCGGGCGCGAGAAGAGCCGCGCCGACGAGCAGCTGGCCGAGCTGGCGCGAGAGGACGCATGTGGCGACGACGGAGAGGAGGGACGGAGTGAGGGAGAGCGACGCCATCGGGAGCGCTTGCACCCGATCCGCCGTGAGGAGCGTCAGCGCGTCCAGCTCGAGGGAGTGAGCGGCGCACGCCTCGCGCAAGTCCACAATGTCGGCGGCGGTGAAGGCAACCTTTCGCCACGCCCTCAGGCCGAGCGGCTCGGAGGTGCGGTTGCCCTCCGTCGCCCTCCCCTCGGCGCGCCTCCTCACGGGGTGGAGGCGGCTTGAGACCGACTCGAGCGTCGAGAGCCAGCGCCTCACCCCGGCCGCGTTGTAGTGCGCCGCCCTCGTCCACGCGAAGTGCCAGCCGAGGCTGGACAGCCGCTCCGCCAGACCGCGGCTGGCCGCAACCTCGACGAAGAGCAGCCGCCCGCCCTCGAGGGACGGCTCCGCGGCGAGGTCGCCGCAGACGCGGCCGTCCTCGTGGTCCTCCTCGCTGAGCGTGCGCCCGGCCGCGTCGGCAGCCGCCTGCCGCAGCCGCCTGCCCAGCTCGCGGATGCTCCTCGACGCCGCACCACGGGGCGCTCTCCTCGCCGAGCCGCGCGCCGCCTCCCCGTCGACCTGCGCCGCGTCGGGTGCCCCGCCGAACCGCATGCGGCGTAGCCGCTGGGCCGCGCTGGGATGCGAGGAGGGCGGGCTGACCGACCGGAGGCCCTCGACCAGCGCCTTTTCGTCGTCGGTCGGGGGCGCGACCTCGTCCGAGAGGAGCGACGTCACCCGCCAGAGCACGCGGTGCGGGTCGCGCAGGGAGGCGCGCCCGTCCGCGTACGCGAAGCCGGAGAAGACGTCCTGCAGCGGGTGGAGCTGCAGCTTGATCTCGGCGTTGACTCGCCACGACCCTCCCGGGACGTGCTCGCGCCACACGCCGCCGATGCCCTCGAGGAGCGACGCGCCGGAGTGGAGCTCGAGCCAGCCCGACGGCTTGCACACCTCGCGCCCGACCATCCACGACTCGCGCCTAGAGAAGAGAGGGGGGGACATGAGGAGAGCTGGGGGAGAGGTGAGCAAGTGCGTCATCCGCGACTCGCGCCCCGTCGGGGAGTACAGGTAGAGGCCTCCCTCGTCCGACGCCTCGCTCGCGGGCCTGCCGCCGTCCGCCTGCTGCATGTGCTTGTCCTGCATGTGCTCGTAGACGGGCACGCCAGAGCACTCCAGGTCAGTGGGCATGTAGAGCCCGTGCGTGTGGGGCTGGTAGCGCGAGCCGAAGATGTACACGCAGCCGGTGGAAGCGCCGCAGTGCGTCAGCGCTCGGATGGCGTCTGAGCGGGACCACGCCGAGCCTAGCGCGGAGCGAGGAGCATCCTCAGTCGCTCGAGTACTGCGAGACGCGGCTGCCCTGCGGCCCCGCCGCGCGCCATTGAACTCTTGCCACGGCCCCGAGGAGCCCGCCTGTAGGAGCTCTGCACGCTCGGCCATGGAGCGCACCTCGACCCAGCCGTTGGAGCGGCACGGCTCCGTGCCGATCAGCCACGAGTTGCGGCGCGCCGGCGAGTAGAGCGAAGCGGGCGGGTTGCCACCCTCTGCGCGGCCGTAGCGGACGGCGCGGGTGTACGCCGGCTTGCCGTTGCAAGACCCGTCCTCGAGAAAGATGCCGTCCTGCAGCAGTCCCGGCGGTTAGCAGTCCCGGCGGGCGGGCGGTGCGACGCGAGAGGCGCCACGCGGGGAAGGGGCTTGGGCGGGCGGGCGGTGCCTGGGTCATCTCGGGTCCTCTCGGGTCCTCTCGGGTCCTCTCGGGTCCTCTGCCTGGGAGGAGCCGGCGACGATCAGACAGGCCGCGCGCGACGAGGCGGCCGTCGTCCGTCGGACGACAGACGCCACCTAGGCACACCGGCCAGTGGGTGGGGGCCTCGGCGGGGGCGCAAGGGGCGGGCGAGGCTTCGTAGCGGGCGGGGGCGCAAGGGGCGGGGGCGGGCGGGCCGCCTCCGCCGGGCAGGGCGCGATGACGATGTTTGAGTTTTTGACCCAGGAGGAGGTGGGGCTCGTCTCGAACCAGGTGCTGTTGTCGAGCTCCTCCGCCGTCTCCGCTACCGAGTACCGCTCCTGCGGGCGGGCAAGCGCGTGGGGAGCGGGCTCCGAGCTGCAGGAGCCGGCGTCGGGACACATCTGCACCATCTCGGCTACTCTTGGCTACTCTTGGCTACTCTTGGCTACTCTCGGCTACTCTCGGCTACTCTCGCACCATCCACTTGAGGCGCGGCGAGTTGTCGCACGCCACCGGGCCGATGTTCCACTGGTGCTCGAAGCCGGGCGAGTGCAGAAAGAGGGAGTCGATCGTGGACCGCTGCCGGTAGACGGGCTTGTCTTGGCAGCTGCGGCCCGTCCGCTCGTAGACGCCGTGTATGCGCGGCTGGCGGCGGGAGAGGGGGCGGGGGGGGTGGCGGGGGGTGGGGAGTGGGAAAGGGAGCGGAAAAGCCCCGAGGGAGTGTCCGTCTCTGCGCCTGGTGTCTCTGCGCCCGGTGGAGCGAACCTGTCCCTACCCTGCCCCTTACCCTGTCCCTAGCCCGCTAGCCCCGGCCCTGCGCCTGGTAGGCGGAGCCGGTGACGTAGATGCAGTCGGCGAGACCGACGCAGCGCGAGCCGATCGCTTGACTGAAGAAGCCGCTCGGCAGCGAGGTTGCGGAGCGCCACGGGTCGAGCAAGCTGCCGACGAGCTCGCGCGGCTGGAGCAGGAGGGGCGACGAGGCGACGAGGAGGCGGCAGCCTGGAGAGGGTCAGGGTGAGGGTGAGGGTGAGGGTGAGGGTGAGGGTGAGGGTGAGGGTGAGGGTGAGGGTGAGGGTGAGGGTCAGGGCCAGG